CTTGCATTTGCCAGTCAAGTGCTTATCCTACCGAGCCATCTCCCCGGCCCCTTATAGAGAGCTTGAAGCCAACCTGAACTATATGACAAGGCCCTGTCTCAAAATAAAAAAAAAAAAAAAGACAATAACAGTACCTACATGAAGAGTATGAAAAATCACTTTATTCATACTGCTAGAGGACTCGTAATATAAGAATATAATGTGCCAGGCATTGGTGGTGCACACCTGTGATCTCAGCCCTCAGGAGGCTGAAGCAGGAGGATCGCCACAAGTTTGAGGCCAGCCTGAGCTACATAGTGAAACCGCATCTCAAAAAAAAAAAGAATATAATGCAAACCTACTGAGTTTACTGGTCGTTCCTAAAGCCCAGGAGATGTATGGGCCACCAGTGACTTTTGTTTTCCTTTGTTTTTGAGATTCTTGACTCAGTATAGGATGGAGATGTAGAAGCCTGGAAGGTCACTAAGGTCATTTCTCAACCCTGGAGAGGAGGAGCTGTGAAACTAGGGTTACCAAATTTCTCAACTAAAAAATAAAAAATCTCAACTAGACAGTTTGCAAACTGGAGAGACGGAGGGAGGGGAAGGAAAGAGGAGTAGTAGTATACACACACTGACTCGCCAGGCCTGATGCAAGCATTATGGACTACAAACATGGACTGAGAAAAGTGTTACAATTAAAAAAAAAGAAAGAAAGAAAGAAAAAGAAATACAAGATACTCGGTGCAATATAAATTTTGATAAATAACAAGAAAAACATGGTGAGTGACTATGGCCCCACGCACATTTGCCAAAAAAAGACTATATATTGGGGAAAAGGAAGCCAAGCACAAAAGAATTTGTGCTATGTGATTCAATGTCTCTAAAACTGGAAAGTAACGACCTAATCTCTAATGACAGAGGTCAGAACAGTGGTTGCTTGAGGGGGATGGGAACTGACTGCCAGAGATTCGAGGGAGGCAAGTTCTGGCCTGATGGAAACGCTCCCTTGCTTGTCTTGGCTGCTGGTTACATGAATCTACGCAATTGTCAAAGCTCGCTGAACTGAATCCTTCATATCCGTGGCATTTTATTGAAAGGAAACTGCGCCACACATGCAAAGCAAAATAGGGTCACACAGCGAACTCTGAACCAATCAGAGACCAAAAGGTGGGCTATGCTGATTGGTTGATTCCCAAGCCAAAAATTCACAAATGCTACCAATAAGCACAATATCTGCTCCAGCGAAGTTATCTTAAGAATTTCATTGTAGTAACAAAAAACTGACTAACACATACCTTTGTGTGTGTGTGTGTGTGTG